ATGAAATAAAAAACATTAAGCAAAGTTTGGTCCGGCCAGTGTAAGTACTTCAGAATTTGGTAAATCAAATTTTCTCCTTGCCATAAACCAGGTAGCAGGTCTGTTCCTACAGGTGACAGTGACAACAAGTGTAAGATTTTGGTTCATCTTTTAGAGAAGATATACAAGCAGAAGTTACTAGCCTTTTATAGCCACTAAAAATGTTCTGCCAATGTGGCTTTTCAAATACAAACAGGCAGCTGCTGTAGTTTAGCACTGATTATTCTAAAATATCCAGTTATTGTTCTCTGTCTCTGCTGGGAGGATTAAATTATAATTCTTGCCTTAGTGCTACCAAAAAATGAGGCTGAGCTGATGTGGTTGGCATATACTGATGTGGTTGGATTTACACTGACGCAGTAGACACAGAATTATATTCTGCCTTCTCTTAATTCCTGTTGTGTATTGCTACAGGTATGAAGAAGTGTAGAGGTACCTCATATAATGGTTGTAAAAAAGGATAAAAGGGACTCTAAAAATATAAGAGACTTAATCCTCAGCAGGTAGAAATTGACTTTTATGGAATTACATCACATTATAGTATTTGGGATTTTAAAAGAGCCAAATTCTGTTCTCTGTTACAGTGTTCTAAATCTGCAATTAATCAGCTCAGTAAGAAAAGACATTGTTTCTGTATTATTTGCTATTAGTTTATTTCATTACTATTATGAACAGCTATGCCTTTAACTGGGGCAGGTTTAGTCTTTCACTAGTAAGCTTTTATGTTTTATTACCTTATCAATAATGAATGTACATGAATATGTAATAACCAGCTATTTAATTAATGCATTCAACATTGTGAGACTAGCAAGGAGTAAAATCTATACTCTTTTTAGAAAAAGAATCTCAAATATGAGGAAATTTTAATTGCAGATTCCTTTTCTCTGTTTTTTACTCAACATCATAATCAGATCAATGATTCAAAGTAATAATTGATTTCCACTTTGTATCTTTTAAGAATAGGAAAGATGGCTATCTAGAGAAGAAAAGATGAATAACAATTGCAATAAATATGTATTCTTAAAAATATGGCATTGTTTAAGATAAAATTCTGAAACTCCTCTCTCTCCTTTGGGAACACCAGCAAAAGAAAGTAGGTGGTACTACAGCTCTGACAGAGAGATATTTGCATTTGGTTGTTGTTTAGAATGAGACCATTAAAAATGTTCAGTGAGACTATTCATATACTTAGTATTAATTATATAAAGGGTTTTCTGATTTTACTCTTTGTCTCCACATGCTAAAATCTCCCCAGTGTATAAACAGGAACACGAGAGGGCAGGTGCCAGGAGATGTGGGTAATTTGCTGTGTTTAGCAATGCATGGCTCCTTTCCGAGGTCAATTTCTGCCTGGGTAAAAGTGTCTTATGATTGTGGAGTGCAAAATATTCTCTCTAACACTGGATTTCTTATGGTTTACATCTGAAAATCCAATCCAGTAGAAAAAAAAGCTAATGTTATTTTCAAGTAAAATAATGCTTGTCATTATTATGATAATACCATCTTTGTATACCCCTCTTAAAGAAATACTTTTTGTTAGATTAAGGCTATATAGAAGGTCTCCAGGCAAAGGATCATGTTACATTCTTCTTTCTCTTGTAATTTTAGCTGTCACCCTATTTGACTAAAATACCACCGAGTGATTCTAGATAGATCTGTGACTTAGGACTGGTGTCAATCAAGTAATATTCACAAACAAGTCAGAATATTGCCAAACTTTATTAGGTGATTCTTTCTTATGTGAGCACCAGCTCTTCCCAAGTCAAGAGTATATTAATATTTTTTATAAGTGTGGTTGTGCCATTGGTCTGAAAATCTTAAAGGTGATGAAAATGAGTAGAATTTCCAATAAAAAAAAAGAGAACAGAGTGGAATAGTAAGACAAATTGTGTTGGTGATAGAAATTTTCTATTCTTTAGTCCTTGCATTAGTAAGCAATTCACTGGCACACTGAGTTCTGCTGATAAAAACATAATATACACCCCTGCTTGTCAGGGGAGCAAGTATCTTACTGTGCAAGTCACTTTGATTTTTTAAAACATTTTTGGAAGACACTGTGCTGTCATGCTTGGCCCCTTACAAATGAGATGGAGATAAGCTGATTCAGAGTCCATAAACAAGTCCAACTTTTTTTTTTTTTTGCAAAGTCTACTTACAGTTCTCTTGGCTTCCATCACCACGTATAGAGCAAATTGGTTACCAGTTGTGCTGTCTCCATTGTATTTCTTCAGTGCTGCGTCAACAGCTTTAAAGACATCAGGGTCATCACAGTCCGAAAACTCAAATGCAAGAGGAATGGCTCTGCTAGAGAAAAAACTACAGCAGAGTGCTAGTACAATGAAGGCCTTCATAACTGGATGAAAAAGGCCCCCTGAATTAGAAGGCTCTTTAAGAACCAAATGGGAAAGGAATGCCTGACAGGATTTTAGTCACCTCTTCTGTTTTTCAGGAGCAGTAGTTAAGTAAACAGAATGAGTGGGTTGCTGGGGTTGGTTGGTTCTCATCAAACCCTGTTTATACTGCAAATAAACTTCTGAGTTTATCTAAATAAACTTTGTTTGTTCACCAGAATGACACTAAGGTTATCCACCTGCCATCAAGATAACAGGATAAATGGCTGCAGCTGGAAACCAGTTTAGGCAAAGTAAAGCAAAAGAGAAAGAAGTGGCTGTAGCTTTCTGACTTCTTAACACCTAAACTGCTACTGAGAATGAATTTTACAAGGCTTAAATAAAACATCCAGGAAGGTCACAGCGGCAATGAAGTTTGGACAACAACCTTGTAAATTTTATAGATCTGTTCAGTGTTCAGATTGCAACAGTTCTGAGAACTGTAGTGTTCAGAATGTTTTTAAAAAGTTGTTGGACACATGCATATGGTTGAATGTCACATAACCCTTCAATAGCACTTGATAAACCTTGTCCTTCATGATCCTACTGGAGGGTCCATCTCTGCTGCCATGTGGAGACTGCCTGGCTTATGAATCAGTCAGTGATCATAGTGCTTTGTTGTCGTTACTGATATGTGACACCCAAGAACAAAGGATTAAACACTGTTGTCTGAGTCTGGTCAAGCCAGGATTAGAGATGGCTGAGAACTTCTAGTGCTTGTCTCCCCTGTGTGGCACCAAATAGCTTTGCTTTGGGTCTGTGAACACCTTGGGATTGCCTTGGCTTCTGTGTTCCAGCTGTTTCTTGCTGTATTGGGTTTGTGTGGCAAGGTTTGATAGCAGGGGATTACAGGGTTGGCTTCTGTGAGAAGCTGCTGGAAGCTTCTCCTATGTCTGACAGAGCCAATACCAGTCAGTTCCAAGATGGATCCAGTTCTGGCCAAGACTGTGTCCATCAGTGCTGGTGGTGGTGCCTCTGTGGTAATATGATGAAGAAAAAAATAAAAAGGAACTAGGAAAGAACAGGAGAGAGAAGAGAGAGAATATGTGAGAAAAGCAGCCATGCAAATCCCACGGCCTGTGAAGAAGGTGTGGGAGGAACTGCTGTGGGTGGGGAGTAGAGATTTTCCTGCAGCCTATGGAGGAGACCATGGTGAGGCAGCTGTGCCCCTACAACCCCTGGAGGTCAGTGGTGGAGCAGGGATTCACCTGCAGCTCATGGAGGACCCCACACCAGAGCAGGTGGATGCCCAGTGGAGGCTGTGACCCTGTGGAAACCTGGGCTGGAGCAGGTTTGCTGGCAGGACTTGTGAGGGCATTGATGATGGAGCAGTTTGTTCTTAAAGGACTGCACATCATGGAAAGCACCTACACTGGAGCAGTTCATGAAGGACTGCCTCCAGTGGGAGGGATCCCTGGCTGGAGCAAGGGAAGAGGGTAAGGAGTCCTTATCCTGAGGAAAAGAGGGGTAGAACAACATGTGATGAGCTGGCTGCAACTCCATTCCCATCCCCCTGCACCAGCTGAGGGAGAAGGTAGGGAAAATCAGAAGTAAACACTGGGGAAGAAGGTGTTTTAAAGATTTGACTTTATTTCTCATTCTCTTACTTTGGTTTGATTAGTACTAAGCCAATTTCCCCAAGTCCAGTCAGTTTCGCCTGTGATGATATTTGGTGAGTGATCTCTAGCTTTACCTTGACCCATGAGCTTTCTGAGATAATTTCTCTCCCCTGTCTGGCTGAGGAGGGCAGTGACAGAGCAGCTTTAGTGGGTGCCTGGCACCCAGCCAGGGCAAACTCACCACACTTGGTACAAGTTTTGATTTAAAAAATGCACTTTAGAGACTGTGGATAACTAAACCAGAAATAAGTTTGTTCATACGTGATAGCTGACTTTTAAAAATTAGTCAATCTTCACAGAGTCACAATGAGTCCTCGTTTTGTTTCTTTTTCTTCGGTGTGGCCTTTGCACTGTGTTTCACTTTATGCCATTAAAAAGCTGTTTGGACTATCAAATTACCAACTTTTTTGAGATTAATCCCATGTTCTTGCTTATGACATAGCTGTTCTGAATCAGCTTGCTGGTCCCCTGACAGTCTGAATGGACTTGACCTTGATGGGGGCTGGAGTATAAAGAGGCACCACTGTTCTTTCTTCCTGCTCCTCCCAACTCAGTTTCCAGTGAGGAAGGATCAGCAATAAAGAAAACATTTACATGAAAGAGTTATTACATGCATCTGCTTTTCTCTTCCCCTGAGAGCAATTATGAACTATTTGAGAAGGGCTGTCCTTGACTGCAATATTTCTGTGTATCACCACCAGCAGCTGTAGCGATGGAAGCACCTGTGCAGGCCACCCTGCAGTGAGACAGCAAGTCATTAACTGCTCTCAGACCCCTTGTAGATAACAGTGCTAACCCAAACACCATTAGTTAATTTATGCTAGAGCTGCTTTGTGGATGTTTAATACCTAAATAGCTTCATAGTTTAATATAATTTCTAGCTCAATATCTAATAGCTAATTATGTGTAGTAAAAAAACCAAAAAACAAAAACAACAAAACAGGCAACTGTGTCGAGAAAAAAAATGCTTGCATTTTTATTTTCTATAAATCTGTATAAAGCATGAGTGTAGTGGATTCATGAGTGTAGTCATGGATTACTTTTTTATGGAAATCAGTCAAATTTCCTCTACGTAAAATTCCTTGGAGAAATACATTATAATTATGAATTATGAAAAAAAGAAAGATTTTAGATGGTAATTTGCACCATTAGAGAATTTTCTTTTTTGTTAGAACTGAAGGAGCATTGTTTTCTGAGGATATTTTTACCCATTCACATTATCTCAGGTACTCAGAATTTTGAACCTTTCAGTTACAGTGGAGCTTGAGGTAGCCATGACGAAGAAGCAGGTTGAAATACTTAATGAATATTTTCAGTGATTCTCCTTCCAAGAAACAGAATGCTTTTCCCACTTCTCCATCTGCTGTTTCCATTGACTGTAGGACTGTGGTTGCCCCTGACATTATTGAGCCAGGAACATCTTTCTCTGAGGTCATACAGGAGAATTTTCTGTTACAAAGCTATGAGGAAATAAAGGCAAAATTTTTGGAAGGTCAAGTTTGGGTTTTCCAGGACAGGATTTTGATTGTGTAGGGTGATCTGGAAAGCCTGGAACTTCTGCCATCTCCTTTAGTTTTGAGCCAGTGCTGGAAAAGTGGAGGTTGCATTGGGATAGTTCAGGAAAGTTCGCAGTGGGAGGTGTGAGAGAATCCTGCTGATTTAGAACTGGGATGCGATAGACAGCTCCTGTTACATGGCATGGAAAATACTTTCCTGATAGGCTTGTCTTGTTGTGATGATGTCTGTAATAGTGATGGCAGTGATGAGGAGGGTGTCCTGGAGGAGGGGGACAGGGTGGTCCATGGTGGTGAGGAGGATGGTGGTGACCTGGTCCATGAGGAGGGGGACAGGGTGGTCCATGGTGGTGGGGAGGAGGGTGGTCGTGATCTGGTCCATGAGGAGATGGAGTAGGATGGTGATGATCTGGTTCATCATGGGGAGGAGGGGGAGAAGAAAGTCCTTTGTTGCTGTCTTGATCTTCCTTGCTGGATTTGGGGTTATGCTCATCGTCTTCAGGTCTGGACTGAGGAGAGGGGGGACATTCATGCCTGTGGTGATGCTTATGGCGATGTCTGTGACCAAAATGATGATGACAGTGGGGATGTCTGTGTGGATGTCCCAGGGCTGAATGTTTCCCTCTTCTCCCACAGCCATGGTGCTGTTTATAAAAACATCAGGGAAGAAGTATTAATCAGGTGTTGATAGGGCAGAAGAAATTGATGAGAGAGAGGTGGGAGTTAGCAGGTTTGCATTTGTAGCTCTGATGACTTTTAAGGGAAAAATTCTGTATTTTTTTCATGATGGAGGAAATTGAATAGATAACAAAATTCTAAGTTACTGAAAAATCTGCTGGAAACACACCATGTTGAAATTATATAACCAGCTGAGAAGTATTTGTGAGAGATCAAAACAAAACAAATCCACACTGGAGTAGCTGTTGTGATATAAATTGGAATACCAGATATGATAAAGATCATCTCCCCTCCCCTTGCTTTCTAAAATCTCTTTGAACTGTTTTGCCAGTCTCTACTCACACTTAGTCACACTTAGATTGAACTGAGAGAAGACATACTTGAAAGGAGTGGTAGGGACAGCTCAATTCTGATTCGTCCTTTGACTGACCTAGGACTTGCAGGTCAGTCTGTCCTGACATGCTGCATCATAACCAGGCAATAGAAAATTGGAATAAATGTTACAATCATCAGTCTGGACTAAGCAAGATTGCGGCAACCTGCATGAGGATACAGCCGGAGAGGTGTCCATAACTGAGTACATACCCAGGGATGGTAGATTTCACAGCTTATATCTGTTCCATCAGCTTCATCTGTACCACTGATAATTCTTGCCTTGCAGAATCCAGTGTGCTAAGCAAAAGACAAGGAAAAAAACCCACAATGCACATCTGGGTTTCTGAGAAGGAATTAATACAAACTACTGAATGTTCAACATTTTACTAGTTAGGCTATTCCTTTGACACCTAAGTATCTTCACATAACTTAGCCAGATCCTGAGCCTTCCAACCAATGCTTGTCAGTGATTAATAATGATTAAAATATGCGCTGATTTTGAGGGTTCTTGACTGTGATGCACTCTAGATGCACTTCACCATGTGCACCCAGAGGGCTACTACTCTGTATCTCACTTCCCTTTTGGCGTCTAAGAAATTGGCCAGCCACTAATGCCTCCAGAATGAGCGCTCTTGGGTGCCTGATTTTTCTTCCTTTTCATATTTTTTTCTGTTTTTGCTTGTCAAGCATCTGTTCAGATTGGACTATTCTGTAATTCTGCTCAAAGCTCTCAAAACCTGGCACTGTATAGCTATGCTGCTTCAGATAAAGCTCAAGGCAGAGCTTTCTTCCATTTATTTTTTAAAAGCAATTTGTTGTAATTTTTTTGCATTACTTCTCTTAGCATTCTGTTTGCTGTGACTTTCTCCTGCTGTCCAGTCGTTGTGTGTGGAATTGCTCATGTGAAAGAGCACAGAACTCAGGTGATGGGTTTTGTGTATGTTCTCTGTACTGGGTGCTTTGTCTTGATATTTGTTTGGGCCATTAGTAGCTCTTTGTGCTCAGTGACTACAAATGGTAATGACATTTTACACACAAACAGCAGTGATGGCAGCATTGAGAACAGAATTCAGACCCTCTATTACCATCTGCCTTGTGCTTTGTTCTAGTGAACTTGTGTCTCCCTTGCCTGTTAATTCACAACCTCTTCCAGTCTTCTAGAGTATAAAAAACCAGAGAAGGTGATGGATGTAAACCATATAAACCAAAAGTTTTACATATTTTATTTTCCCATATTTTATTTCATGATTTCAATTTAGTTTCTGGGGAATCATTTATTCTGAAATTATGAGATCTTGCCTAGCTGTTTCTTTGGTGTAGACTATAACAGTAATGGAAAATGGGGTGAAGAGAATACTTAGATAGTTTTCTACAGATGAGCTTGAATTATTCCACTCTCCATTCCTCTGCAGTAGAGAAAAAAGTGACCCTGAGCTCACTGGGATTACATAAGACATATATTTTTTTCAGGATCTATGACTCATATTGGTGTAAAAGTTTTTATGGACATAGCATGAATGATTTGCTAGGGACTGGCCACAATTTGAATGCAAAAGCCAGATACAACCTGAAAAACTCTAGGCCTCTAACATGCCAGATTCCAGTCACATTAAGATTTGAGAGTTCAGACTGTTTCCTTATAAAAGATAATGGAGCAGTTGTAAAATTAGGATCTGGGCTTGGACATGCTGGATTTTTAATTTTGAGTTTGGGTTCATGCTTATAATAAGCGCTTGAAAATATATTGATAGAATCTTCCTGGTACCACCCTTTATATCAGTTCTTGTTCTAAGACTTTACTTACAGCGTGCCAGTCATGCAGAAAATCACATTCCAGTGCCTGATCTGTTTCCTGCATAGATTTTGAACAGTTGGTCTCTTTTATAGAGAATCCTAAAATGTGACCTTCACGGGAGGCAGTCTGAAACCAAGAGGTCAAAGAAGTTATAACTAGGTGTATTTAAAGTCTTGTAATTTTCAGAGCAACCATACGTCATCTTATTGTCAAAATCCCATCCACCTCATGCTTTCCTTACCTGTCCTGTTCAAATGTTCATGCACATACACATATTCAGCAAGGAAAACAGGTTAGATAATTTATATCTCACGCCCTTACAGCTTCCAGGAATGCTTGCTTTAATTCTTTGTTTAGTATGCATGTGCTATAAAATCTGTTACTTTTACAGCCTGTGTTTTTAGGAAGTAGTGTCCTTAGAGTCCTGTCCCTAAACTGAACTGCTGCTTCTGTGGAAGTAGAGAGATCTATTGGATGGCAACCACCCATTTCCAGTGATGGGAGTGCATAGTATTAGAGAACTGATGTTAATTTTAGATGAAATTCTGCTAGTGACTGTGAGAATGTTGCTTTCTCTGTTGTCAAGGGCATTAGTTATGGAGAAGGCCTTGCTCCATATGAAGATGGGAGAAAGCCTTTTTGATCGATTAAAATCCATAAAGAGGTGTTTCATTTTAATTTCCAACTATAGCAGTACTTTTATATCAAGTCTGTGTTGAAGGTGTCTTTGGCATGTGTGCACATACGAGTTTCACTAGTTTAACTAAATCAGTTGAAAGTGCACGCACGTACTTTATGGTATGGTTTTTTTATTGTAATTCATAGTTTCTGAGTGTTAAAATCCAGAGGTACACTTGGCATGTGTGCACATACAAGTTTCACTAGTTTAACTAAATTGGTTGAAAGTGCACGCACATACTTTATGGTATGTTTTTTTATTGTAATTCATAGTTTCTGAGTGTTAAAATCCAGAGGTACAATGTAAAGTGTTGCTGTAGCTGAAGATGGTGAAGTGTGAAAACCAAGTGTTTGGAGAGAAACACATGAACCCAGGCAATGTGAAAACAATCCCTTTCTAAATGGCAGTAGGGAGACAACGTGCACAGGGCTGCAGTGTGGGACACTGTCAGGTTTCTGAGCGATATTAAAAGCTGCAGGGAGGCGGGTTTGGCATGCTATCATTTAGACAGTTTCCAAGATCAACATGTATTATGGTGGGAGCCTTGGGACCTCATTACAGAGGTGTCCTGGGCTGACACACATCTTGGCAGAATGATCCCGTGCTGTTTAAGTGAAAGTCTCCAGTATCTACCAACAAGAAATGTTGTTATTAATATACTTCACATCACCCAAAGGATAAGTCTTCATGTTGACCTCACTTAGATATGGAGATATTTACCAGACCCAGAAGTTCTTCAAGAGTTACAGCACAAATTCACCTCCCTTCCTCAGAGTGCTGCTTTGCTCTGCAGCAAGAGTCAAAATAATGCTGAGCATGTTGCACTGTTTGTGGTACCCATGTGCTAAGTATTCTAAGAGTAAAAAAATATCTGGGTGCAACTGACAAAACATGTGACTGTGGTAATATGACTGTCCATCCTGAAGTCTATTCATGAGTAAATAAACTCATATATGTCATGTATGTCAAAATTAAAATATGTACACAAAGAATATTAAATTAAAATAAGTACACGAATTCTGAATGCCATCACACTGCTATAGTTCTTTAGCAAATGAGAAGGCATAATACATGACTGTCCATCTTGAAGTCTGCTCAGTAGTAAATAAACTCATATATGTCATATATGTCAAAATTAAAATATGTGCACAAAGAATATTAAATTAAAATATGTACACTTGAATTCTGAATGCTGTCACACTGCTATAGTTCTTTAGCAAATGAGAAGTCCTTCTGCTTTCACACACCTAAATTGAAGTTGGTAACAAGTCTTTGCTAAAGTAGGACCTTCGCCTTTTGCTTTCACACACATAAATTGAGTTGGTAACAAGTCTTTGCTAAAGTAGGACCTTCAACTTAGATCTGATCCTAGAAGGGTTTGAGTTCTGGTCCCATGGTCTTGGAGTTGCTCACAAAATGGTGTCATTTCTAAGTAATTCTAGGAGGAAATGCCACTTACCATCTTTAAAATTCTTTCAACTTTATCCACAGCGAAGTTGTTTGTGTGGTTACCTTCACTGTTGAATTTCCTCAAGGCCTTTGCAGCAATATCTTTATGTTGCTCAGTGACTTCTAAGGCTTCAAGTTTCACAGGACAATCTTTGCACTCTACTAAGTCAGGTGGAACTGTGAAAACAAATAATTGACTAATATTACAGTGGATATTAATACTCTTGGGAGTGTGCCCATGCCTTTAATGTGAACTCATAATGAGAAATGTAAATGCAGCATTTCCTTGTAAGTGAAATACCTGTCCTTGCTCCACAAATAAGGGTTTGTTCTGTAATGTGAAAAAACCCCAAACCCATGAAAATGAGTATTCTTATAAATCGCCTTAGATTCTTACCACCCCAAATGTGCAGTCTTCCCAAGTTTACATTTGTTCTGATGTTCATTATCATATTTTGGTGGACTGGAGTGGTGATATCAGCTGACATCAATAAAGTCTGGTTTAGAGGAGTAGGGTAACCTTAATTCTATTACTCATTCTTAACATTCCATTTGAATTATCTAAAATATGAATTACAAGCAGATGAATGGATCTGTTACAGTTTCCATGCACCAGTAGTGTACAGACCTTGGTACAAGGGCTGGTTTGAGGTATGCATTGGCTTACAGCAGTGGTTATTTTACCTGGACTTAATGTACAATTAAATCCATACAGTTGAGGTTTCTTCAGCAGATGGTTTGTATATGTGATAATCTTACATTGCCCAAAGTCCTGAGAGGAAAAAAGAATACATGATTATGATGTTATTTTCCCTGGATTTAATTGGATGTAGGCGATCATGGAAATTATACCCCCTTTTAATGTGCAGTACCTCTAAGAATAACAGATGTGGTCATTAATGGAATGTTTGATCAGGTACCACTCAAAATTTGTCTTCAGATAAAATGGGATCTCTCTCTACAAGAGCTTTTATTTTAATTCTCAGTTTGCATGATTGAGTAGACAATGCAAAACTGAAACAGCTTTCTAAGTCATCCTGATACTTACTTAGAGTAGGATAAGACAAGATGACAAGGAAAGTTAGAATGCCAGGTTACACAAATCTTTGTCAAAAGTGGATGAACCTGTTCATCCATTTCTTTTTTCCATTTAAAAAAAAAAAAGAATAAATGCTTTCTCTTCTCTCCTCCTGGCCTTTCTGCTTTGTCCTTTGTCATAGTACCAGAATTCCTATTTAAATAAAGTTTTGAACTGGGAGTTCTCATCACTGGAGTGCAAAAGAAAGGACAAGTATTGCTGTATATTGTTCATGTAATGATACTACCAATATTTCACATTGTCATACCAAAAATGTTATGACAGAAAACTGACAAAATATACCACTGGTACTTCTGCCTCATATACCAGGAACATGCTTAAAAAATAATTTCTAGTGCCCTTTAGCTGTCAGCAAATCACCCTTAAGTTCTGCTACAAGCAGTGGAATGTGGAGTATAGTTCCTTTGAGACAGCAAGTTAAATAGTTTTATTTATTTGAAGACTCAATTCTTTCCCAAGCCTTTAGCATGTGTTTAGCATTCTAGAATTAGATAGATTTTGGTTTAGAATGAGCCATATTAAAGCCCAGTGCTCACTGAGACACAAATTTCTGGGCAGTTCAGAGGAAGATCAAGTTAGTGCATTATTGGTGTATGAGTTGGTGCAGATGCCATTGCTTGCCATTGGGTAGGTGTCACTGTATTCACAGGACTCCCAGTGTCTTCTGGATAAGACAGAACATTCCGTTTGCAGCACATCCAAAGTTAAGTAGAGGACCGTTGAATTTTCCTGGAAGAAAAGTGCAAGTAAAACACAGTTTATAGACAAGAAATTTGATCTGAAATAAACTTTTTTTGAGGTAGATATGTTTAATCTTTAATGAAGCTTCTCCAGATCTCTATTAAGGTTTTTCAAAGCTGACAAGCACAGAAGGCGTTCAGGCTGGAAGGGACCTTTGGAGGTCATCTTGCCCAGCCACTTGCTTAAGGCAAAGCTGAAACTTCAAAGTTTCAACTGCATTCTGTGTATCACCAAGACATTCCACAACATCTCTGGGCCATCCTAGTACTTCACAACTTTCTCCATTATTTTTTTAGCCTTATATGTAGTCAGAATTTCTCTTCCTGCAACTTATATCTGTTGCCTCTTATTCTTTTGTTGATAACCTGTGAGAAGTGTCTGTTGTTAATCTAACATTCATCAAGTAGGGAAAATGCCAGTGTTAAAAGGTTGCCATTCCCTATTTCTGATTTTCCCATAGAATGTACTGTTCTATTAGGACATCAGTTATCTAGGCAGCCAATTGTGTATCTACCTCCATTTCAAATTACCTTAGTGACCAGAGACTCTTTCAGAACTTTGCTTCCTGCTCAATTTATTCAGGGAGTGATGCAACAAAACTCTAATAATCCCAATCAGAATCCTCAACTCTGAAACTATTCTAGTATGTTCTGTCTCCTTAGCAAATACAATTAGGAGAATTAAAATTTGAATTTGGATGACAGTGTAATGGCCTGTGGTGCTAAGAATTTTCTGTGGCCCACAGAAACAGTTTTGGAGTGGATTATTTAAACTTTATTCAGCCCTTGTATGGACATTCAGAATAAATGCATATGTATTTCATTCTGTCATTTAGAGAAAAACATGCAAAGCCCTTCACTGTGAATAAGTGTCCTTGGGCTTTACGAAGTTCTATCCATTCAGGTTTCTTTTTCAGTGTTTCTTTATAGATGAGACCTTGTTGAAGAGTTGCTGCAGGCTAGTATAATATTTTCACTAGTGACAGTCCACCAATGTCATGTTAAATACTGTTTTTGCAATATTTGTGTATCTTAGCATTGTCTCTAATTTTAAAATAGCGGTTAAGTGTCTACATTCAAATACACAGTAGAAAATTCTTCTGTTCATCTGCTCAATAGCTTTTGGGGGGGAAATGGTATCTTCTTGGTTGTTTTAAAAGTATTTTACTCACTACAGTTCTGTACAAGTCCAGAACTGTTGTGGATACCTGAGTATCTTATGCTTCTAGAACTCCTGTGTAAACCCAGTAGAGATTTGCCTGGAGTTTCTCTGCTTAGGTTTCTGAGGGGGTTGATATGATAAACCTGTTGCACACTATTGCATGGAGAAACAAAAAAAATGTTTTGGTCTTTTTTTTTTTAATATATACATATTCTTAATGTTATCTTGGCAGTGAAACCAAAAAAAGTTCTTGCACAATAATGTATGTAATTAGTGTGCAGGAGATCACATCTGGTGGCTTTGGGTCTGAGAACATGCAGAGACCTTTCAGGGAGATTTCTTTAGCAGTCAGATAGATAAAAGTGTATTTTCTGTTCTTGTAGACACTGTGTGACAGCTGGAGCTGTGGCCCTGGACTGCAAAGATGGCAAAATTCATTAAGGGTACAAAGCAAAACATTAACATGGTATTCTAGTGCTTATAGCATTCATTTGGAAGTGAGAATCCTCAGCACTAGTCAATATTCCAAGTTATGGTTTATACTTTATATATTCAATAGTTATTTAAAATGTAGAAACACTGAGATTTTTCTTTTTAGACACAACTTTGCTTTTTATCATTTATCCAATGCATTTTGCACGTCTTACTGCCTGGTGGTTCCACTTCAGAGGGGGGCACACACAGAGCTGCATGGCAGCAGAATTCTTCTGGACAGGAGACTTCAGGGTTTAAATCTCTTAATACAGAAGAGCTCCTTCTTAGATGAAGCTCTTTAACTGCCTGGCTACTGTGTACAACCCAGTGGTATAACTTGCTGCATTCTTGACTTTGAAAAGCAAAAAAAATCCATCAGGTTTTTTTGCAACTGTGCCTGAAGACCTGTAGCATCCTGGGCTTTGAGTCACTTTCTGGATCTGTACTTGTCCCTGCAGGCACTACTAAGCAGCTCCATCAAAAACTAGCCTGTTTTTTCTGTTGCTATGCTGAGACTTCTGGGACAGTTCATGTGTGCCCGGATACCAGTTTCATAATCAAGCAGTTGAAAGCTACCAGGTGTGTTAGTAAATCTGCCTGTCCTTGGTCTCTTTTATGTACTAGTTAAAGACATTTTTATTCTATTGCTTTTTCTGCTGTTGATTTGTTTTTGCATTTCAGCAGTCATTGAGGAAGGCTTATGTATCTTCTATAGGAAAAAGAAATGGAAACAGGAAGGAAATAGAAAATGACTGATAGGGATTCTCCATCCAGTCCTTCCCCTGTTTTGCAGAGTAGCAACTCCTTTGACTTCCTCTGCCTTTTTCCCTTTCCACCAGTTTATTCAACTATCTGTGAAATTAAGATAATAACAAAAAATCCATCTTGCAGGATACATTGGTCTAATTAATGTTAGACATTAATGGAATAAAGAAACCTTCTGAATATAAATTTTGAGTATAACATCTGAAACCAGACAGCAGACAGAACAGATTAATTTCCAGAGTTGTATAGAGCTGTTCAGAGCATCTCTTATGCAAACATCCTGCTGGCCAAGAGAAGAGAGGCCATTCAGCATTGTCTGAAATCAAGTTTACGTGCAGTAAATCATACACAAATGGATACTGAGGTGGTGTAAGTCACAGCTGATTCATTGGATTACATCAACATTGTTCTAGTAAAAGCAATAAACATAAGCTCTTAATTACCTGGCTCATTGTTTAAAAATCACAGTCTTGTGTAAATCAGTCTTTAAGTTCATACTTACTAAATGTAGTTCATGTGCATCAGCAACACGGAATAAACCAAAAACATAACCATCTCTGCGGTGTCTGTTGACCAAATCCAGGGCCACTCCTGCATCTGTTTCAATGGTGTTACAGTCTGCAGGTGTAAGGCTTATTTCATTTTGGGCGTTAGAACACTGCAGTAGTGTTAGAAAAAAAGCTGAAGCTAGAAGCAGCATTTTGTTTGCAGTGTTAGGTCACTTGTGCCCATGCCCTGTTAAAGCCAACCTGCTTTCAAATCAGAGCAGCCCACCAAAGTTATAAATGAATGCTAAAAGGGCATGGTTTTATATAAATTTAAGTGTCGTGTCAGACAGCCATTACCTTGACCCTGGATTAACATTTGCAAACAGCAAGTAAATGATTATATAGTGATTGAGCAGATTTTGAGGAAAGTAGGCTTTATAACACTCTCTGAACTACCCATCAAAGGGCCCGTTTATGATTCTTTAGGCAGACATTGTGCAATGGTGCTTTATCATGGAAAGTATTTATTTCTAACTGTGTAAGGCTGAGCCTGGCAGTAAGAAGGTCCAGTTTATGTGTGCAGATATTACACAATCTTGGTCTTCTGTTTACTATTAAAACAGTTGAACTGAAAATATGCTGAAATATTTGTGGTCAAATTATGGCTATATCCCTATCCTTGTTTTTACAGATCCTTAACCACCAGGCAACTAGTGAAAGGGAAATAAGGAATTCACTCAGATGTGGAAAAGGAATATAGCTCAAGGTGCACTGCAGGCTGCTGGTCTGTAGCTGCTATGTGAGTACCTGCTACCAGCTAAAGAAAATATAGAGCTGATTTCTATCAGCTTTACATCATTTCAAACTGGTACTCAGAAAGAGACTGACTGCCTAATACCTGTGTAATCTAGGTATAGCAAGAAGTTACATAAATCTGCCTTTGCATTCTCAGCCTGATCAGTTTTGTGTGCTTTTTAGCTGTAGTAGTCTTCATAGACTTCTTTAGAGAATTGCTGGTAATTTTTCTTTTTGTATTTAATAAAATAATGCCATACCTAGTAAGATTTGTACCTTCCAAGGATATACCAATATCCTCTCCTAAGCAGAAAGGATGAGATGTTGTCTCATTGCATTCAAGATCTTTTATTCTGGATAGTTTAAGACATTCTTAAAAGGCAGTAATTGCTTCTCAGGGAGTGGCTGAAGATGGAACACAAAATTAAAACACTGAATAAGAAAACACAAAAATGCAGAGCCCAAAATGACAAGGTCAGACCAGATGAGGAATTTTGCCATTCTAGGTTGATGTGAAGATTGGACTAGCTTCTCACAGAAAAAGTGCTGGCTGTATAAATGCTGACTTGGGGCTGGAAGCTAGATGATCTTTAAGGTCCCTTCCAACTTAAAGCATTCTATGATTCTATGACTTGGATTTACATGTTTGACTGTGAAGGGGTTTTTTCACTTATTTTTGTGAGAAACCTTCAGAAATACAGTGAATAAACATAACATTACCTCATTTAATTAATCTTTATTTTTAAAAATTCCACGTCTTTGCCTGGCTGTTGTCTAAGAAATCATGTTTTAAAATGAACTGAGCTGAAGCAGTATATTTCATTCCTAGTTAGTTCAGGACACACTGAACAGTTCTCTGGTAATAGATAAGCTAAATGGAGCATCTTACAATATTAGACCCAGGAGCACCCAAAACCATCATGAGTAAATTTAAAATTGTTAAAAATAGTCCCCCCACTTGTGGGACTTGCTGCCACAGAAAGATCTGGATGCAGATACTATCACTGGGGGCAGAAATTGCTTAGAAAAGTCCATGGGCAGCAGGTCCTGACCTGGATACCAGAAGGACTCAGCAGAAGAGGACCCTTTAATGACCCTGGTAGAATGATTCTGGGTGCTGGAAAAGTACAGGGGGAATGCTTTGCAGAGAGAGGCAGGCCATAAGCTTCTTCTAACCATAATTGTCTTTTGCCACTGGGAGAGATGGATACTGGGCTGGATGTACAACAGTTCTGATGAAATAAGGTATTTCTTTTGGCTTGCTTTTATAATATTTTTCATTATAACTACTCAGAATCTCTTCCAGAAGATGGTAAAAAAGCAGTGAAATAAATGTTGTATAAATAATCAAAGACATTTGAAATATATCTCATCAGTTAAAAATAAAGTTCCTGTTATTGCTGTGTTCCAAATTGCACCCCAATTCATTTATTACAATACTTGTTAATTTTTTCAAATGGGCAGTGATACTGAAGAAAAGCATTGGATTAGGTGATTTATAACATAATTCCCTCAGCCGTCTGTTGTTTGCAGATTCTTTTTTTCCTCTGCTGTTCTGGGTTGTTCATTGTGACACTCATCTTTTTTTACCATCGCTTATGTATATTTTATGTATGAAATTGAAACAGTATGAATAAACAGTGGAAAAGTTCTTTTTTTCCTCTTCTGTTCTGGGTTGTTCATTGTTCATCTTTTTTTACCATAGCTTATGTATATTTTATGTATGAAATTGAAACAGTATGAATAAACAGTGGAAAATGTGCAATTCCTGCAAAATTGACTGCAGAAGTAAAGTAAGATTCTGTTCCCACTCTAGAGAGTTTTGTCCTTGATTTCTTTGGAAAAGAAAGATTAGACCCTTTTATTAAAGCATTGACAAGAACTCCAGACACAGTAAGAGTAGTTAATTAAATATTGGTTGTACTTAAGTCAGAATAATATATTTTTATCACTTCTCCTTCAGTGTGATATCTTTTTAAAAACTTGTTTTTATATTCATTGCTTTTAAGTTTTGTATGTTGCTTTAATGAAGCCATCTCTGTAAATAGTTTGCTGGAAGGAATAGAAATATTTATCCAAAACATGGCATTTCTCTTGCGTAGTGTATCAAAACCTCGTTTATGACTTTTACCAAGGCTTGACTTGCAAGAGTAAGAGGTGATCCATAATCAAACTTTAAGGACATGGTAATAAACATCCACCCTAAACCTCTCCATGGCACTGGGAGAACACATCAAAGAGCCTTATCTTCCCCACTTAAAAAACAGTGTATGAAATGTGCAAAAAATATAACTTTAAACTAGAGAGAGAGGAAAAGGAGAGCTGACACTTAAGGAAGACGATATGAAATAACCAATTCCTCCTTTCCTAAAGTACAGCTGTAATAATTTACATATATCCCTGGCTTCTTGGGAGCACAGCTGTTATGAGCAGACTGTTCTCTGCCTTCTGCAGGAGTGCTTCACACCCAGGCTGGTTTCACCACATGGCACAGCTCTGTCACCTGTGCAGGCAGCAAAGCCTTTCCCATCTCTTACTGCACTGCTCTGCAGCCACTCCTGTTTCTGCTCCTGAGCCAGAGCCCAGCTAACACACACACGTGTGGCTCTAGCTGCTTAGAGGTGAATTCTGGGCTGGCTTCTCTTTTTTTTAGTCTGAAATTCTCCAGAGCTTCAGGCCTTATTGGTCTTGATGCAAAAACCAAAAAAGATTTGCAGTTCTTGGGGTGGCTCTGCACTTAACAGGAATGCCCCCAAGTAGGATGGAAAAATATGTAAATGTGACATGTCTTATTTTTATCTGCTGGGTGTAAACAGGATGCCTCCAATGCAAATGCAATGTTAGACAAATTTGCTTTGGTTATGGTTTTCAGAGCAGCAGCTACAGCTCCTGCTTCGCCTCTCTGCCTGCAGCTTATTTTTCTTTACCAGTCACCAGTTTTTTATCAAACTTGTAGAAGTTTCATCACCTTGTCTATCAAATTTCATTCAAAGAGACCTTAAGTTCAAAAGCTATTTGGATGAGACAAACTGTCAAGTGGGCAGGTTGAAAATGTAGTTACAGAAGTCTTGTTGGTTAGGAGGCCTCAAGGACTAATACAGGGAATAAAAAGGATGTCAGCATTCCTTGTCTTGTCCTCAGTGTCTTTGGCTGCACACTGCTTTTCAGAAAAAAACAGTCTAATTGTAAATTGATGACTGTAAGCATACATTGAAAGACTGACCTTTTTGCAGAGGGGCTTGAGAGGCTGGGAGAAAAGGTGAGGTTAAGAATCTGATGTTAAGAATGGAGTCAGAGGGAGTTCTGCATCTCAGATGCAGAAGAAAATGCTTAACTGTGAAGTGTGTGCAATAGGTAGGTTCTGAAGTCATACAAAGATAATTTATACTTAGTTTATTTTATAAAAACCTTGTTTTTAAAACCCATCCTAAGAACTTTGATGTCTGGGTCTTACTTTTTAAATCTTCTGTTTCCTTTGAATATTAGTGTTCCTATTTTTGCATTCATGGTACATATTCTGAGGTAAGGGCTTGAAAGTATCAGATAAAAATGTCAACAGTCCTGGAGGTCATTGACCATCATTTATCTGTGCCTGAATAAAAAATGTTCATGTGAAATTGGAATGTTTGCTCAAACAAACATCAGACCACATTTTAGACTACATATTGCCCAGATAAGTTATTAAGGGATGATATTATATCATAAGATCAATAAGTGTTGAAAAACCGTAAAACAAAATTGAAAAGTGAATTGGGGATTGTCTGCCCAAATCCATCTGCTTCTCATCTCCAGTACTGGATGAAGGGTTTCTTTGTGTCACTGGCCTGTTTTCTGCAGGACAAGGACAAGCAGCAGGTAACAGATCAGAGCCCTGGGAGGAGGTGAGGGGCGCTCGGGGTGTGGCTGGAGGGACACAGGGTGTGTTTCTGCCCTGCTGCTTTGCTCACACTGGCTGGCACCAAGGCCAGGCCAGAAGAGGGGAGGTTCAGCACAACCTGGACATGTTTCTAGGAGGATTTCCTGCAGTCCTGTCTCAGAGTCACTGCGTGGAGACAAGCTGCCCATGTGGGTGTGCTGGAGGGAGAATGCTGCAGTGCTGGCCCACTCACAGATTGGCATAAAGGTGCTGAATCAGCAGCAGGATTTGAAGTCCTGATGACTAAATGCTACCAGCTGTTAATAATATCAATGCCATATGGAGTGCCGCAGCATCCAGGTATGTCCTGAGGACAAAGGAAACACAGAAACTATGCAACCTCAGACTCCTTCTTGTAATTCAAGAATTTAATCTTGGACATCGGTACCAGGACTCTATTATGGTAAACACTGGTGGTGGCCCAGGTGACACTGAAACCGGGTATGGACTCTGTGCTGGAGTGGCCACAGCAAATAAAGGAAATGCTCATGACTCTGCACTGACCAGTGGTGCTTCGCTGATCTGTGCTGGAGGTGCAGTTACTGCTCAAGTAAACACGCCTTCTTCTGTTTGTTTTT